GTTGACGTCACCCGCAGCCAATCAGCGCGGGCGGCGCAGGGCAGGGTGACGTCAGCCCCGCGGGCGCGGAGCGGAGCGGCGCGGAGGGAGCAGCTGCGGGCTCGGGGGGACCGGGAGCCCGCGGSGACAGGGAGCTGAGGCGCTCCCGGGGTCACCCTCCTGGCCGCTCAGGGCCCGSAACACCCCGGAGCCGCGCCGCTCCTGGCACAAATCGCAGCTGCCGTGTACTTTTCGGTCACGGATGGTTCCTGGGCTGCCTGGCGGTGCAAGGCTGAGCCGGGAGCTCTCCCGCAAGCGGGGCACCCCTGCCGCCTGTCAGCGCCCTGCGTGCTGAGCTGGGAGCGGCGGGGACCCGCGGSACACCCGACGGGACTCACTTGCGCCGGGGTGCCCGGGCTGGAGAAGGACAGGCGTGGAGGCAGCGCCGTCTCGGAGGGTGGCGTGACAAAGTGTGACCAAAAAGCTGGGGGCTCAGGAGGAGCCTGACCCACGGGTGGGCTCCCGGATGGCTGGAGTGGGCTCACCCCCTTCCTGCTGCGGGTTCACCACCGGGCAACTGGCCTGCTTACACGGCAGGGTTTTTTTCTGTGCCCTTGGCCCTGGCCTGGCAGCTCCAGCTTAGAGAGGGATTAGAGTTTAGAAGCTTAGGTTTTGCTGGTGCTTARGAAATTAAGGCAACCTTGCTCCCTGCCGATACGGATGCCGGATGTTTTAACATTAACTCTCATCTCTCCAGACACGCRGCCGGCAGCTTGCTCGAGAAGAATGTCGAGCTCCCACAGTAACTGGCGGCAAAATCTTTCCCAGAAATGTCATTTYTCATAAAGCACCAGAGGTATAAAACCCAGGGATGCTAAAAAGTCTCACTCTCCCCATTGCATAAGCAATGCTGAGTTCATGCCCTTCTCCTACTGCAGAAAATTAGCTCACCCAAAGCTGTAAGCAGGGAAACATACAAAGCCAGGGCTATTCTACCTAAACTTGTGGGTTTCAGGCCAGTTGTCATAATCAGTGGTGAGATGCTGGAGTAGCATGGCACTTGCTTCTTTAGTGGCACAGGAGCACTTGGTGGGAGCTGGAGCAGGAGCGTGACCAGCAGGGCTGAAACAAAGCCTTTCCTTCTGGTTTTCCTGCCCAGCTCCCTCCTTGCAGCCATGGAAAGCACTCAGATGGGGAAGAACTGAGAAAGACTTCTCTTGCCTCAGCTCTGGGCTGTTTCCTCCCCTGCCCAACACCCCTTTTCAGGGGTAAATGGGAAAAAGAGGGAGAAAGGAATGAGTCTGAAAATCTCAAAGCTTCTTCATAAAAGCTGTTATCTAGGCAGAGAGCCATGAGCTTGCAAAGCCTGCTGAAGGAAGAGGATTTAAACAATTTTATTCCAAACTCCAGTTAAAATCAATGTTTCCAATATTGGACCTGGCACATCACAGAYGTTCATCTGTTCATCCAAGATCAGCTGTCGGGAAGATTGCTCCCTGTCCATCCAGTGGCATGGCACCAGGGAGGAGAGTGGGAAGCAGATGGGAGAAGGATGTCAAGCTTGCAGCAGGCAAGGGATGGGGAAGTGATGAGGAAGAGGCAGAGGATGGACTGTCCTGAGTGGCTGCCTTGGACTGTTCATTCCAGCAAGAGGCCAAGCTGAGCTTCTTGAGCCTTCATTGCTGGCAAGCTCTCCTCAACTAATCCATGGACCCCCCTGCTGCATCCTGGGATGATGGGGACACAGGAGACTCGACCCACACAAAATCCCCATTGGCAGCAAACAGGAGGAGCTGCTCCAGTGGGGCTGGGGACCAGTGGGACATGGATTCTCATGGCCACAGGAGYGGCTCCAGCCCAGGAGCCCTGCATCTCTCCCACGCCCACTGCTTCTGCAYGAGGCACTGCAGCCAAGGGCCTGGTGGGGAGAAACCAAAACAAATGATTCACTGCTGCTGAACTGCTCCCGGGATCACAGGGGCCAGGAGCAGGCGGTGACAGAGGCTTGCAAAACCTCACCTGCCTCCCAAAGCAGGGAGCTAACCCTATTTAGATGCCAATCCTGCTCAACTTGATATTCTGGCGTTTGGCTATGTGGAAGTGGGCAGCCAGCCTGAGCSAGGGCAGCGCCGTGAGCACACCTGGCCAGCTCTGTGTGGCTCGGGTCATCCCTATTACCCCTGCTTTCCCCAGGGGAAATTAAGCCGGGAGAGCCAGGGCAATGCTGAAATGGTCAGGCAGGCAGAACAAAGCAGCCTCGTCTCTAAGCTCCATCTACCAGATGTGAATCTATTGTCTCAGCCCCAGGGCCATCACACCCCCCCTCCATCACAACCATCATGAGCTGAGCAAAAATTACACAGCAAGATGCTTATTGCTAAAGGAAAATGCTTTGTTTCAGGTAAAGAGCTTAAAAAATAATACGCCCTACTTTGGTTTTTCCTCTTTCCCAGATTTCAGGCACATCCAAAGATGGATTGCATCCCAGCTACATGTTTCAAATACAAGTTACGCTTGTGCACGTAATAGTTCTTTCTAAAATGTTTTCCAGGCCTCCTAATTTCCATGGCAGGCCAAGTGCAGAAGAGCACAGCAGAGCCTCCTGCATGCATCCCAGGGATTAAAATAGGAACCTGATCATGAAGGAAACTAAAACTAGGAAAAAGGAATTGCTGCTGAACAAACTTTCCTATCCATCAACAAGGAGAGACTTCTGTCAACCTGCAATTTCTTTAAATGGCCAAATAATATATTTTTTTATTCTATCTTGGTTGTTTAGATGCAGTTCCTYGCACCACTGAGATGAGCCAGCCTCTCATCATCCTCAGCCAGCAGGGCTGGCTGTGGCACAGGACACTGTGTTCCCACTGCAGGGGGTATTGGCCCCTCAAAACTGTGCTGATAGCTGARGCCAGAGCCGACCCTTGGGCTGACATGGCTCTGCTTATTCCAGGCTGGTTCCAYCACATGTGTGCCTGTCACCCTTGCTGTGATGCCCTCTGGAGTGGGGCATGACGTGGTGCTGAAGGGTCTTGTTAGGCTTTGTATCTCCCTGTTCTGTAAAGAAATGTATTGACTGTGGTGAACTCTGCATCAACTTCGAGAAGGACATCAGTCCCCTTTTTGGCACCTGCCCATGCTCTCCCCAGCTCTCCCACCGCATGACTGGGATGGAGCCCAGCACTGATCCCTGTGCACGCCACCTTCTTCTGGCAAAGCCCAAAATGGTGTCACTCAGTGAAGAGAGCTGTTGTGCTTGAGCAGGCAAAAGGCACTTGCAGCATCACCAGGCAGGTGTTCTTCTCACACAGGGGCTGCCCTGGATCTGTTTCCATTTTCCCGATCTGAGTATCTGCCTGCGTGCAGCGTG